TCCCTCTAAATATAAATAATGTAATTAATTGGCTAAAATGATCTTAAACTTCAAATAGAAGAATAAATTTCTAAAAACAGGTAAGAAAAATGTGCAAATCTATGAGGGGAACTCGCCTTTCTAAATATTAGAACACTATAAATATGCCAATAAAACTGATAAGATATAATCATAAAATAACTACAATGACACAGAATTAAGAAGTTCCAGATGACACCTCATTGTCACATGGCCATCTCATATTCATCAGTAGTCTTACCTTCTTCGTCAACTTAATTCAATTAAACGGCAGCTGAGCTGCAGAGTCAATGTCTCAGTGGTACAATCTGTAATCAGCTCAGTTACCGTAGTGGGACAGGTACAGAAGCCCCACAATGAGTTTCCAGGGCATCTGTGATATGTCCCAGCACTGATCATTCCACTTTATATCCCAGAATCTAAGATGCCATTTGCCGTCGATCAGTCCAATTCCAGAGAAATTGAAATGAAAAAAATGTGCAATTCAGAACTAATGAAGTAAATACACTGAAATTGTCTTTGTTTTCCTTATCCATTTTTCACAAGACTATAAACTGGAAACAGGACTCTGCCTAGTTTTGAATAACCAAAGTATAGCACGTAATAGGATAATCCATTCTATTACTTGCATGTTATTGAACACTAATATTAAAGACCACCCTATATTATAAATGGAGGAGGAGAAATCCATCAAGATTATGAAAACTCCCCAAGGTGACCAAGGATTCACACACACACTTTGGTTAGGCTACACCATGCCCAACAACTGCCCCTCCAAGTATACATTTGTGTAAAATAAAGTACTTTTAACTCCCCGTGATAAGACTTTACCTGTTCCTACTGGGTTAGGAGTATATGGAGGCGGAGGAGGTACACCTGGAGCTATGACATTGGCTAATGGTACCAGACCTGCATTGTTATAAGCACCTAAAACGAACAACACAACACAAAAGTCAGTATCATTTTACGGTGAGGAATTCAATATTAATGGAGCTATTCAATTTATTATTTAAATCATAATATAAACAGAACTACATCTTATACTGAGGTTTGGGGTAGTAGGCAGCTAAGGTGGCTAAATCCTGCATGACTGGGCAATTTGAGTGCCAGACCCAGCAACTTAAAAAACATCCCAGGTACATGTGTGTGTACGCCACAATCCCTAAAGGAAAGATGGAGGAGAGGGGATTGTGGCGTGATCATTCCCCATGGTGGGTATGTTCTCATTTTACCTCTGTATCTCTCTCTGTCTCTCCATCAAGCACATGTGCCTCTCTAGCAAATTAAAAAAAATTTAAAAAATTAAAAAACTGGAGATTTCTTATCTACCAGTGCATGATCATTTTAGGCAAAGCTCACTGAATGGCACGATAGGCAGAATCTGTTATTCATCAACTATTTGTCTTTTCTGTCAAGCAAATACTTGACTTTTTAAAATTAAATATTATCAGTGAAGCCTACGGACAACTACCAAAAAAGGGATAATCTACCGAAGTAAAAATCTGTAATAACAAAGATTAAAAATAATCTGTAATTAATTCATCAGAAGGAAAATATCTTAAACTCTGCCAGCTATGGTACTATAGATCAGGGCACTAGTAGACAATTGTGCAAGATGAAACTCAGAGTAGCATTTCATAGATGCAGCAGATTGCCAAAGTACGTAGATCAGAACTTAATTTCAATTTAATGAACAAACAACAAAAATAAGTAAAAATACTGGAGAGCTCCTTACTTGGTGCAATAGTTGCATGTGGCCGGCAAGGAGGTATTGGATAAGGAACAGGTTTATGTGGATTATATGTTGAAGGAGGCTAGATGAGGAAACAAACATAGTGGTTAGGAGAAAAACAAAGTAAGTTGGCAGAATAAAAATATATAATTTGTCTTTCAAAATATTTATTTATAATCAGCTAAAAATGCCCTCGGTATATCAAATGCTACCAGACTGACATGGCACAAATGCAAAAACTTTCTTCGCTTTAATGAATGTGGTTCTTACTAAATTCCAAAGATAGATTCTGCCAAAGACGGTGGTGGAGGTGTTTATTTTTTATTTCAGTACTGAATCATCTCCAACAAAGGGTTAGACCTTATCCCAAAGAGCAAACTCCTCTCTGATCCAGCCTCGATTAATCCAAGAATGCCTATCTTCTCCTGTCTAATTTACACAGGTATCTGCTAGGTTTTGGAATCTCAGCTACATAAGAATCCCTATGGCAACATCCTCTTAAACTCACTAAGAATTCACCCTATCATTTCCACCATTTCCTCTTCTTTTGGAAGCTAAAAACACTACTTGCTTTAGCGTCCAGTAGTCTGACAGCTCTCATACAATGTAGACTGAAAACAAGAATTAGGAGTTTTCATTGTTTTGTCTTTTGACACCCACAAATACTTTACTTCACAGTTAATGAAACTTATATAAGTAACTATGAGCATTCGAAGCGTTAGTCTTTAGAGAACTGAAGTATCCAAAGCCAAGCCAAATGCTGAACTGTTATCTGCAGAGAGGGAGTACTGGAAGAGCGAGCAAGCAAGTCTTTGGGGGTCGAGGAGGGGCTCTACCCATGGTAACTCTCACAATGGTGACCCTATAGGAAGCTCTAGTCTATGTTAAGGACTGTGATCTGTGGCTGGGCTAAAACAGCTGCCACTGAAATTCCTGCCATGCAGATGAGACAGGGACTGCAGGATGACTGTGTACAGGCCACCAGTACATACTTCAACTCCACAATCTTTCAGTCCACAAAGTGGTCTTCTATCCAGTTTATATTCCAATCTTTGTAATAACTCCTCTGAAAATATTCTCAACCTGTGCCTCCAATCTTGTTTCATTATTATTAATACACAATTCAGCCAATCCACAACCTTAAAGCAAATTGCACATGCTATACTCCTAAATGAACAGTTGGATGTATCTAGAAAAATAAATAAGAACGATTTGATGAGTCTCACTTTAAAATAAATTGCCTAACCTCAAAAAGGCCCTTAATACAGACCAGCAGTTAGCGTAATGGCTGTGTTGCTGGACTCCCATGTAGTCGACCACGGTTCACGTCCTGGACCCGGTGGCTTAAAACTCACGCCGGGTGCGTGTGCGCACGTGCCCAAGATCCCGGGAGGAGAATGGAGAAGAAGGGATTGCGGTGTGGCCATCCCCCCTGGGAGGTGATTTCTCGCTTTCTGTCTCTCTGTCTCTCTCTGTCTGTCTGGCGAGCATATGTGCCCTATAGCAAAAACCTCTCCAAAAAAAGGAAAGAAGAGAAAAAGGCCCTTAATACTATTAATTAGTTATATTGTCTCCCTTAGATCATTCACTCTCCTACTTTGCTGAAATTTCTGGAATACATCAAACTTTGAAACACAAAAATTATACTTATGTTTTAAATAGTCATAAAACTACATCTAGGAGTTACAACTTATTCCATCATTTATTTTCTAAACATACTGGTTTTGATGGTCCAAGAATCCGTGCAGCTATTCCTTTGCCTTCATTGGTACATTCTTCACCATCTTTTTTCAAAGGAGTTCCCTATTTAAAAAAAACAAAACAAAACAAAACAAAACAAAAACAAACGCACAAACACACATGAAAGAAAGATAATTGCGACTTAAACCAACAAATACTCACTGTAATACAATAAAGAAAATGACTTGGTGGTGTATAAAGACTTGGATTTCAGACTCAGTTCTGCCCTGATTGGCTGCTTGACTCTGATAAGGGTCCCTCCCATGCCATGAAACTTTCATAACTTGAAATACACAGAGGTGATGACAGGAGGCGAAGGATAAAAGTACATTCCAATTTTTTTCCTCCACAAAAAAGAGAAATTGGAAATAGACTTTCAAAGTTACAGTAAGTATAAAGTTCAATACCTGCACTGCAGTTGAAAACAGACAAGGAAACAATGGTGTTTTCTATAAACATTAAGTGTGATCATTTATATTCTCAAGCTAATATAGTACCTCATTCAACACTGCTACAAGTAACGCATTAGAGTAAGCTGATAAACCACTGCAGAGTGTCTCCCTAATAGTGTATGTCCTGAAATGGTACCCACTACTATGGATGCCAACTCTCAGCATGGCTCCCACGGATCTGCATCTCCTATACGCCCTGTGCAGTCCCTTCAACCATAAACAGGGCTGACGTGTGTAACAAATAGCATATTGTAAAAAATGATGGCATCTGACTCCGAAGGCCATCATAAGAGGCCCTGCTGCTTCCACTTGCTCTCTCTTGGGTTCCCTGTTTGGTGGAAGCCAGTTGCCACATCATGGGCATATTCAAGCAGCACAGTGGAAAAAGTCCTTGTGGTAATAAACAAGAGATGTTCACAAACAAGCAACACTAACTTGCCAGGCATGTAAAAGCATATTTTTGATCTCCAATGAAGCTTGCAGATGACTGTAACCTCATAAAAAATCCTAAGCTATAACTATCCAGCTAAGCCACTCCCAGATTCCTGACCTGTTGAGACTACGTGAGATAATAAGCATTTATTAATTTAATCGACCAAGTTTTGGGGTTGTTACACAGCAATAGAAATGTAACATTCTTTGAAAAGATAATTTTACAAAGAAGTCTGAGAAACACTAGATAATATAAAAATAATTTTCTTATTTAAAGAACTTCTCAAAGTCTCTATTATGCAATGTAATTCTCAGGAAGGAAACACTGCATGCAGTTTCCCCAAGTACTTAATTTTGAAACTGAAGAATATTGAGAATTTGAAAAATAATACTTAATTAAATACAAATCAGTGTTTCTAAAATACATGAAAAAACAAAATAGAACAAAACTATCCTCTTATCATTTGGCTTGTTCTGAAGATTTTACACAAACACTTTAATGGAGTTTATTTATGAGCTTTTGATCTGTGATGAATCTATGAACTAAGTTGCTAATATAATACAATTCCTTTCCTTGGTGGAAGAATCACCAATTGGCATTTTATTTCAGTATCATTAACTTATGTTTCACACTTAGCCATGAGAAGTTTCACATATACTGAATAAAGTATGCTTACTGGGAAAACTCCAATGATGCGGCTAGGTTTTCCTTTGGGATACGGATTTCCTGGGATTGTTCCGCAAGAAGAGATCATGGCATGAGGTGCTTTGCAGCCCCCTTTGAAAGCCTGTGATATAAAGAACATAGCAGTAAAAATGTCAAACTCGTTTCTTTTTTCCCGACTAAAACCTTTTAAGGTGCTGTGCACATCACTCCTGTAGTTTTCTTCCCTATGAAGTGTTCTGATCATTTCGTGGTCAGAAATACTATGGGACTGAACATTCTATGGAGCAGCCTTTTTGGGCAATGTAAACTAGTACAACTTTTATGGACGATGAACCTAAAGAACCTTTAAAATGTTCATACCTGTGGGCCCCAAAATGTTATTTCTAAGAACTTCACTCTAAGGAAATAAACAGAAATGTACAAATTCATATGTAAAGTTAATTCCCCACAGTACTATGTACAATGGCCAAAAACAGAGATGAAGTTTTTGGTTGGATATGTACTGGGGAGGGGGGGTGAATTATATAGCTAATAAAACGAGAAAATAATTTTTTAAATGGGTTCAGATTTTGTCTCTGCCACAAATAAAATATAAGGAAGGCAAAGATTCCTAGTCTCCTTGAGCTTACAGGAGAGTGTGAGGATTAAATAATTAAATACTACCAAACTTCAAGGCCCAGGAGAGCAACTTGCAACTTCCTCCAGCAGGTTTCTAATTCTTAGTTTCTAAGCATAACAATAATAATAATAAAAAAGGCTATTGATGACTAATGAAATTTGTTTGGTTCAAACAAGAACTGTTTCTCTCACTCTTGTACATTTTTAAACAAATCATCTGAAATTTTGCTTTAATATTTATTAACATAAGCATGATAACAAAGCGATTTTGAGAAGTCATTTCCTAAGTACATAAAACAAAACGTAAAAGCTTGGAGCGATGGTAACCTACCAAGGGACCAAGACATGAACATCCCATGAAGTGCAATCGAAGTGGCCAGCTGGCTCTTCACTCTCAAACCTTCTCTACCCCTCTAGCACCTCCTTCAACCAGCTGTTTCTATTTCACAGATAGCAGAGATGTTCATTTTTAACCCAATGACCCAATGCATAATAGCATTCACATTACTCACCAAAGTTAACATAGGAAGATGAGTATATTTTCTTCCCCAATATTAAAAACAAAACCAAAAAACCCAGATTATTATTTTTACAGTGATCTTGAGAAAATTACCTGCTCCAGTACCCTCTTGCATCGTTTCTTCTCTGACATGTTTATCCTGAATAAATCTTCAATAGGACGAGAATTCTGTGCGTCAACAATATTTCTACCAAGGAAACACAATTTAGCTTTTCCAGGAACCTGGACATACATATGGAGGTCAGCAACCGTTGATTACTACACAAACTTATCTGAGGAAGCTTTTCCCATGACATAGGGAAAAATTGTGATGATTTACTGTCAATAGGTTAATTTCAATATAAATAATTTGCTTGCATGAAAGATAAATATAATAACTGAACTGAGGTTTATCTAACTCTTTATTAGAAAATAACAAATTAATACTGTAAATAAAAATACTATTTTGAAATTCTCTTGGGCACATAAAGTCATGGCTGAGTTAAAACGAAGTTGTGCCTTTTACGTTCACTATCATTACTACTGTTTGTTTTTACTATAGGGTGTGTGCACTTGCCAGAGAGAGAGAAAAAGTAAGGACTCACGCCCTGTGGGCGTGAACACATTGCAATCGCTTCTGCTCCATTCCCTAGGGATCTTGGTCACGCATGTACACATGTGTTTTTCGGGTCGGAGACTCAGACTGCCCAGGTGGCCCTGTGGGATCCATCTGCCTTAGCCACCATACCACTGGCTGGCCCTACCGTACGTATAGTTTAATTTTGTGTTGTTATGAACATCTAAAAATATAAAAGGGACTTGGAAATGTATGTACTATACATAATTTACATACTCTTTACTTATCCAGAAGGGTAGGCTCTTTCTTTTTCCCTTTGTATATACATTCATTATAATCACCTATCAAATGCTTTGTTAGATGCTTTCACATTCCTTACAGTTTTAAAAATCTATATAACCTACTAAGTAGGTGGGATCGTTATTTTTACAACCGAGGGAAATAAGGCTTGGACAATTAAAGTACCTTGACAAAATAATGTTGGGTAAGTGGCAGAATTTCTGTCTAATTCCTAAAGTTTTATATCTTTACCCACCTGCCTTTCGAGTATTGAGAACAGGATGACAAAGAAAGTTATAAAAATGTAGGAAAAAAAATGAAATTAAATAGTTAATCTTGATAGTCCCCATTATCTTGTAAGTTACAACCATGTTTGTAATAAGTATACTGCATATTTAACTCACATGAAGAATCAGAATTCATCATTAGGCTCTCATAGACTACATTTTATAATTCTGACACATTAATACATAAAAGACAGTTGAAAAGCTTCCATATTTTTCTCCAATGAAATGAAAAAAAAAAAAATACTTACGAGGCTAACAGTTCAAGAGCAACAAGTTTGTCTTTACTGAAGGTAAAACAGTTGAGTATGTTGACCACTTCTGCTGGGTGAACAGCCACCATTTTCTATTAATATAAAAAAAAAATACTTTAATTTCCAGTACATGAAGTTTTCATGCCAGAAGCTGTCCTATTTTAGCAGTATAAATACTATTAATAAAAACATTTTAAGTGAAATATTTCACATCTTAGATGATACCTACTTACTAAAGAAACTTACACTTTATGTAACTATTTCAGATGAAGATCTAAGTTCTCTTACAAGGTCTTTCTTGAATCCACATTCCTCAATGTGTTCATTTATAGAATAAGAAAGATTTACAAGTATGGGGGTGGAAGATGTAGTGGTAAAACACTCTGAAACGGATCCATGCTGGTCATGTGTTAGCCCATGATCTGGGGCTAGCTGAAGCAAGAGGTGGTTCATAGCACAGGGACCCTGGTGGGGGAAGTGTGTGTATTTCCCTCTCTCTACCTGTTGTTTGTAAAAGAAATAAAAAGTTAAAAAATTCACAAGTACAACTGGTCCTCTGTATTCCTGGGTCCTGAATCCGTGGACTTAACCAATAGCCAATCAAAAATATTGGGAAAAATATGTTCAAAATATAAATAATAATACAACAATAAAAAATGATGGAAACATTTTAAAATACAGCATAAAAACAATTTATATGGTATTTCTAATGTACTAAGTATTATAAGTCAGTTACAGATGTTTTAAGTATATGACAAGGTGTGCAGAGGTTATATGTAAATACTACAACAGTTTACATATCTGCAAAGAGTCCTGGAACCAATCCCCCATGAGTACCAAGGGACTACTACTTTCCTTAGAAGGGTTATATAGAAAGGTGGTATTTATGCAGTAGGAGACTAAATTTTTTTTTTTTTTTTGAGAGGTTTTTGCCAAAGGCCGCGCGCACTCGCCCGATAGACAGGGAGGGCACAGACAGAAAGCGAGAAATCACCCCCCGGGGGGATGGCCACGCCGCAATCCCTTCTCTTCCATTCTCCTCTTGGGATCTTGGGCATGCACGCACAAGCGCCCGCCGTGGGTTTTAAGCCACCAGGTCCGGGACACGAACCGTGGTTGACCATGTGGGAGTCCAGCGACATAGCCATTACGCTAACTGCTGGTCCCGAGACTAGATTGCTTGAGGAGCTGGAAGAGTGTTACTCTATTCCTCGGGAAGCCAAGCATGCCCCAGATCAGCACACTATGGGCAGTCTGTGGTGCTTAACAGTGTTACACAGGAATGGGTCATATGAATTAAGGAAAAAGTAGGTTAAACAGTTTTCTGTTCTGCATAACCAACCTTCTTGAATCTTATGGTAATACACACTGTGACAATCTAAGACTGCATGAAATGTTACATCATGATCTGACTGGAATACATTTATTTTTGAAGAGCATCTAGAAGATGTGGTCAGTTACTAGAATTATGTTAACAGTGAAGGAAATTCAAAAGCAGAGTCATCCTAAGAGGTAAGACTGGGTAGGATCAATCTTGGGTAGAAACTTGACAGTTTCTAGAAGTTAGAGCAATGATTTCCAAATACTTTTATTGACGCTTACCAACAGAACTGGTAAAACCACATACTCCTTTGCATGTTTTTAAATGACCACCAAGAAAAGTACTTACTCACAAAAGATCAATTTTATTATATATGTTTATAATATCCATAAAGACCTTGGAACCACTGATGTAGCTTAGAAAGTATTCATTATGGGACCAGCAGATGGGATAACGGTTATGTCGCTGGATTCCCATGTGATGGACTGTGGTTCAAGTCCTGGACTCAGCGACTTAAAACTCATGCTGTGCCCAAAAATCCCGAGAGGAAAATGAAAGAGAAGGGATTGCAGAATGGCCATCCACCCAGGGGGTGATTTCTCACTTTCTATCTCACTGTCTCTCTTCAGAGAGTACACATGCCCTATACCAAAAATCTCTTTTTAAATAAAAAAATAAGGAAAACATTTATTATGTAGACTGATTGACAAAGTCAGTCTTCAGGGTAAAAGCAGTCAAACAGACTCACTTTGTCAGAAAAGGTGGGGTTTAATTTAATTCAAACATGCACTGAGCTGTCCCTGCTGTACCCTACTCACCTCTGGATTTTAATTCTAAGATAGGCAGATAGGCAAGCAGGCCTCAGAGCTTCCTCTCTTCATTAAACAAAAGAAAACAAAGAAGCAAAGCCATTACCAGTATTTCATACAGAGGCTCTCTGCTTTTTGCTTTCTCTCAGGGGAAAAGCACTGGTTCTTTGGTACCTGAAGAAACATTTTTACCCCTGTAGCACAGGCAAGATAACCCTTTCTTCTGTGAAACAGGAAAAAAACAGCAATCGTCAGAGTGGAAGTTGGAAAGGACTAATGGACCCGGGCAATTTCCTAGGCAGAGCAGTTTAGGAAGTCGGGGATGTGTAAATCGATTCCATTAAACCTATGCATGCCTGATACTGCTTAAGAAATCTTCCCAGACACTCACGGGACCAGGAGGCCCCTGCTGAGGCCTGGAGCAGTGCTAATACAGCAGATAGAGCACTGTGCCTGTTTAAATTCATTATCATCAAATTGAATACAACATTAGCCAAAATAAAGAATTGGCTCTGAGTATAACCTGCATGATGATTCTTCTAAGACTAAGTACAACGTGGTGAATGAAGGTAGACAGTAATAAAAGGAAAGTACATAAAGACGCTTAAGAATTCAAATTCTGCAATTTTTTTGACAATAAGTCTTTACTCCAATGTGCCAATAGGACACTATGGTGCACAATTTAATTGTACAGTATGTAAACTATTTTTTTAAAAGATTTTTGCTATAGGTTGTGTCTAGAGAGAAAGAGAGACAGACAGAGACAGAGAGACAGAAAGTGAGACCTCCCCCCCGCCACCACGGGGGGAGTAGCTTCTCCATTCTTGGGATTTGGGGCACGTACCACACAAGACTGGGATGAGTTTTAAGCTACCAGGTCTGGTACTCAAACTGCAATCAACTATGTGAGAGTCCCGCAATATATGCATTATGTCACCTACTGGTCCCAAGTATAAACTTTTAACAGCTATTTGAATAATCGAAGTATCACAAAATCTAGAGTTAGCTTTCTTGATGTAAACAAATTATAACTTGAGATGAATTACAAATAAGAAAATTAAAAATACTTAAATTCTACATTATAAAGAAAAAACAAGTTACTTACATGCTGTAATGCCTTCATTGCCTTCAACTGAGGCTCAGCCCAGGAAAAATATCTCAATAAATCAACCACCTAAAAGGAAGGAACCAATTTAGTTGTACTGACAGTGAGTTCGCAAGCTTTGCTACAAGACTGATTTCAATACTTGGAACTACTTTTTTATCATCTGGGGATCAGGCCAGTGTCACAGTGTGGTACAAGAGTCTAGCTGTGCTGTCTACCAGAGCAGACATGATTGGCTAAGCAAATTTAAATAAATTAAAATCAAATTAAAAAGTTAAAATTCAATCTTAGTTCCAAGAAATAAGAGCTATCTGAAACTGACAGCTACCGGAATGGACAGTGCAGAGAGAGAACATGTCTATTATCACAAGAAACTAATTCGACAACACTGGTCTAAAAAGAAAATAAAACACACATAAAAATTAAAGTATCCTAGTCAGAAAGGGAAGACTGAAAATACCAGATGGAGATGATACTATGTCAGCTTAGAAACAAAGATATGTCAGTGATAAGTGACAGGCTGGGTGACTGGCCCAGGTATGCAGATGGCAGTTAGTGTGGCTTCACTAACTTCTGCCCTTTTACTTGAATCTGGAGGACATAATTCTCATATCATTCCCTAAAAATGTGAGAATCACCATGAAGTTTCCGGCAGCTTCTAAACAGTGATCCATTTTGAGACCTTAGGTAGCCAGGCTCTCAGAGGCTCCTACCACCACCCACAGCTATCAGAGAATTCAAAGGGAAGAGGGAGACACTGCAGGAGGAGATGAGCAGGGCATGTAAATCACAACAGTCACTCCCATCCCGCTCCACTACCCAGTAAGGGGAAAAAAGATGTGAAAGGAGAGGGTCATAAAACCTAGGTTAAGTAAATATTTTACTGCTGAGTTCCTAAAAATGTGGTTAGGTTTCTATTAGTCTATAAAGGTTAACTGTATAAACTGGAGTCATATGTGAAGAGTGAAAATATTTTTTACTCCTTATAAAGAGGTAAATAAATAGCAACTAAATATAATATGATACATACTTTCTAATTCTGTAAGAATGTATGACTTTACTTTTATGGGAACAATGTTACTATGTAGTAAATGCTACCTTGTACCTACCATAAACTCTACAAAGTATCATGTCTGATATGGAAAGAAAAATCTGTAAGGTAGTAAATAGGCTTAGAATGTTACACATACAAAGTAGCTTTCTAAAAGTTTTAATGACTTTACTTTAAAGTAGAATTAACACTAAGGAAAGACATTTTCTACAGAATTTCACACACAGAGACAAAAAGAATAAGAAGAAAAAGCTATTAGTTATGAGAAATTATAAATCTTTTCAACATTTACATTAAAAAAAAAAAAAGATGATTGTGAAATGCAAGGACACAGCTAAAAGAATACTCATTAAAAGGGCAGCAAAAGGCCAAGTGGTGGCATAGTGGTTACAGACATGCGACAGCTCAGTTCAAGTTTAAACCTGGCAGCTTGAGAAACATGCTGGGTGCCATGTGCACACGTGCCCAAAATCCTCAGAGGGAGAGGCAGAGAAAGGTTTGTGGTGTGACCATTCCCCATGAAGGGGGAGGGGGGGTGCTTTCTCTCTCTCTCTTATCTCTTTCCAGTAGTGGGAGGGAGAAGACAGCAACAAATGCCAAGAGTAGAATTTAGAAACTTACTAGGCAGAATTTCACAGGCTTAAAGTTGTTTATCCTTTCAAGTTTTGTTCTTGAGAAAGAGATGAAAAGGAACATTTGCTAACTCAATGTATAGATACATCTACTGTCCATTCTTTCTTTCTCTTTTTTGCTAGAGGGTACATATGCTCACCAGAGAAAGGGGGGAAGAGGGACAGAGAGAGGAGAAGAGAAAACACTCCCGTGAGACATGGTCCTGTAGCAATCCCTTCTCCTCCAACTCTCCTTCCTTTTGGGATTGTGGGCACACATGCCCAGTGTGTTTCTCAAGACCCCTGGGTCAAAGACTCAAACCACAGTTGACCATATGGGATCCAGCTGCTTTAACCACCAAGCCATGGAGTCAGCCTCTTGTCCATCTTCTCAGCATTCCCACCCTTTCCCAGTACTGTTCTCCAGAAAAACATTTTGATTTCTGCCTAATTGCTCTATCAAAAGTGTTCCAACCATCCTTCAGAAGTCCTCCCTCTATGTGTGTGAGCATGTGCATATTTACACTTTTTGTTGGTGTTCAATTGTCAGAGGCCACATGCTTTCACCAGAGACAGGGGTAGGGAGAGAAAGCACCCCTTCAGTGGGGTATTGTCACACTGAAATCCCTTCTCCTCCATATCTCCATCCTGTCAGGATTTGGGGCCTTCACACACATGAGCTTGGCATGCCTTTTAGGCTACAGAAACCAGAATTAGAATTCCATTGGCCTTGTGGGATCTGGCTTCCTTAACTACTAGGCCACAGGGTTAGCCACACACTCATAATTTCTTTAAGAAGCCAACTTCCCCAAAGTGTAGTGAAAGCTTTCACTAAACTATGGTGTTTAAAATCATAGCAGCTACAGAAACTACTTAATAGGCACTGTGTATTTTTTTTCTCATTGCTTAAATATTTTAGTGGCTTCGTATAGAAACATATTTTATCATTTGTTCATGTTTTATATCATATATTGAATTTTGCAATTACTGTTTTATAAATACTGTACATATTTGGATAAGTTTACCACAAGTTTGTAAATTTTTGATATTGTGCCCAGAATGATAAACACTTCTTGAATGCTTTTTTTAGACAATCTAAAAATTGTGTTAGAGTATAATATCATGATAAAAGTGGGTAGGTTTATAAAATGTCCCTGAACTATAAATTGTCATGTTTTCTGCCAAAAGTAAAGTTCCTCAAGTTTCTGAATAAATACATCAATAAGATAAAAAGCCATTCTGAACTTAAGCAGCAGGTAAACAGACACTAAACAGAGCAACGCTGTAGAAAGGCTTTACTAAGACACATAATGAGAAATACCTGTTCACTAGAGAAGTATCCGTGCACATACTCAATTGCTTTTAATTTGTACTCCGTCAAAACAGCCTAGAACAGATAGAAAAACAACATTAGTCAAGGTAAGCAGCACAGTACTAGGTAGATACTGAACCTGCCTAAGCAACATAATGGTGGCAGGCCCCTCCAGCAGCGAAGGTCACTGCGGTGGTGTGACATTCTATCTTTCCAGGTTCCACACTGTAAGGGATACACTGAGGGAGCATGAAGACCTCCGGGGCCTCGACCTCACTCCTACAAAGAATGGGAATAAAATTACAACAGGTTAAGATTCAACATTAATAGAAATGACACATACAATTCCTGATATGCCGTTTTGAAATATCCCGTGTCCAAGCAAACTGTCATTTTTAGGATTAATTGTACCAGATAGTACTGGTATTTATTGAGCATTTGCTATGTGTTAGTGATAATGAATAGGACAATGTCTGGCTCAGGCTCTGTGGATATCTATAGGATATGATAGATAACCAAAGCAGCCAAAAGGCCTGAGTTCAATGTCTGCACCTGCCACTAACTGGCAGCGTGGCATTTGAGAGGCATTTTAACTACTCAGAGAGCTTCCACACCCCTAAGAAGTAACACTATTCACTACCTACATCAGAATACCACTCTGAGGACTAGAACAGACAACATGAAGTCAGGCCCATAGCAGCTGGTCTGCAAATGATGAGTGAAGAGCCAGTTGGCAGCTTTGGCCCAGCACTACCTGGAGCGGACTAAAATCACATACACTCCCCTTGCCGCTATCCACGGAGCTTAGAGAAACACAAGGCCACTGTGACTTGGTAGCCACTAATCATTAGGAGCAAACAAATCCCTTCAATTTTACTACAAAACGGTTGTAGCTGTACTTTCCATAGGTAATATTTTTGCTAGGAGAAAATATGACCAAATGAAACATCCAGAGTACTCAGTAGTATAACTTTCACTAAAAAGGAGGAAAACAGCATCCTGGGTAATGTATTCTGAGTTTGATGATCAGTACCAGTTTTGGACACAGGCAGGAGTTTATGGACCAAATTCTAGATTGAACTGACACCAACTCATGCTTCAGTTCTTTCAACAATGCTCAAGAGGCTAGCTATATCCCTAGGTACTCTAAAACCAATCTGCCTCGTTTGAATACTAGACCCCATACTCACTAGCTAGGTAACACTGAGCTGACCAGTTAACCACACACAGACTAGCTAGGCTTGCTATCTGTAAAATAAGGAGTTCAGGTTAAGATGATCAAATCAAAACATGGAAAAAAATGCTTAGAACAGGCTCACACATAAGTGCTCATCAATTAATATTACTTTCTTTTTAAAAGCAAATTCAATATTGCTTCTTTCCTTCTTTCTCTCATCATATTTCCTTTTCCTAATGCTGTCTTTCATGCTTCTGCTTTAAATGAGAATAGTGACAACCAGTATTTTCTATAACCCTACAGAAATACTCAGGAAAAGAAATGACCCGCTTTAAACTGTCTTACATTCATAAAACCTAAGAGCAACTTTTAAAAAAAATCAGTAATAATGTTCATATTTAGATATGACTATGTCTTATTTCATTTTAATAGACTAAGACAATGCTATGTATCTAATTACTTGGCAAACCCAGCAAAAGACATATTTTGACTGCAGAACAGAAATACAGACTTAAGTTGCCATTACGTTTTAATATGATTTTCACCTCTGGAAGTTTTCCAATCCCCCTCATCAGTATTTATTTTGAGACATTTTAAAAACACTTAGAAGGAAGGGAATACGCATACTGATACCCTGTATTTTCCCAAAGTGGAAATCTGCTGGTCTATCTAAACTCACAAACAACTTTTTCATAAGCAGTAGTTAAAATTTAGCTAATGTAAGAAATTCTAAGATTATATTTACTTAGCGAATGGACACTTTCTTTCAAATCTTATTGGATAAACTGGGTTTGCAAAAGCAGAAATTTGTTGAAAATGTCATCAAATATAAAAAATTAAACATGTCCACTTGAAAATTTAAAAAGCTTTATAAAGTAAAAGGGCAAGTCCAAGAAAAACTTCAGTAATCATTTTCTAAATTGTAAGAAGTAACAAGCACCAGAGAACGAGGGAACTATCCCTTCCTTCACCATCAAGGGTGGAGTCTGAAAGCTATGGAAATGCTAAAATCACAGTGGCAGGGAAGGCCTAGCCAATGCATCCCACATGGACAGGACAATGGTACTGCAAATCCTTTCAGCTCTAAAGGAGTCAGCTTTATTTTTAACCTTTGCTTGAACTACATTTAGGCTCAAGATTACATTCCCAAATTTTTGCTCTGGGGTTCACTCTGGGAGGCAGAATAAACACGTCAAAAAGCAAAAAATCTGGAAAGTGAAAAGAAAAAGGATTTGAAATTCAAGTTACTGACAACCCCATTTCTAAGAATGTGACTTTAAACTTAGGATATTTAGGTCACACTTTTCATCAGGACATTAAAGCCTATCCTTAGATTTTTAAAAAAACATACCATAATAATTACCATAAAAGAAACGTTCAAATTATTACCTCCAGTCCTGTCATTCGTGTGTTACTAAAAGATGAGGAAATAAGACTAAAAAACAGTAAATCACTTTTTCAAAAGTACAGAGCTATTAATGCCGGCTTCGGAACTGAGCATCATCTGAACATAATTTCCGCAACACTGTACCGATTTCTCAAATTAGTATTAACTAATTTCTATTTGTATCGTGAAATGGTATTAACCGCTACCCTACACGTGACAATTCAAACCGATTTGGGCAATCTTAGGACCGAATTTCGCGCAATCTTCTCGCAGTCTCGCAAAAGGGGGGAAAAAACATGGGAATTGGTATCTCATAGAATAATTTAAGAAATCAAGTGTAATTACCTTTCTAATTTCATCCAGCACCGTTTCAAAGGACTTTTTGTCCATCTTGACTATCTCGAGGTGGTTTTAAGAGTTACACTTTCAATTACAAAACGTTCATCCTTGGTCTGTTCTGCTGATAGTTAAAATGTTTATAGCTGAGGAGGAAAAGGACTCCACAAGCAAGAAAAGGATGCGAAGAGGTAGAGAGGATTGCAAACTCCGCAAAAATTTCTAAAAACGGAAACTCAGAAAAACTTTATTAAAAACAAAAAATAAACTACTCCAGTCGGGCTTCCCAGCTTCTTCACACAAAGCTTCCAGGGCACCTCGGGAAAGAACCAGGTCCTCTGAGTCCCGCAGAGAAACCTGGGGCTCGGCGACCGGGGATGACGCCGTCCCCTACAGCCCTGAGCCGGGCGCCGCGGAGGAAGGTCGTGAGTCTGATTTTTCCCGCGGAGTGGCCGAAGCAGTGGCACCGGCGCCAGGATCCCCGCGGGCGGCGGAGAGGCGCCGGCCTCTTGGTCCACACTAGAGCCTCGGCCGCCGGCCGAGCTCCTCACAGCGGTGAACCTGGACTCATGGCCCGGTTCGGGCTCAGCCCCAGGCTCTACACACGACTTCTGGGTCCTGTAGCCAGAGCAGCGGACAGCCGGGCAGGCTCTTTGTTACTAGCTGCCACGGCTTCCGGGAGCGGGCCGGCGGCCGGAGAGCACCTGGAACCGGGCTAAGGGGGGCACGGCCTCTCGTAGGGGGACTCCCGAACACCGCAGCGCCCAACGGAGCCAGGCTCTCCGCCTGATTACCCCTATAGCCCCCACCGGCTCCTGGGGACCTTCAATAAAGTCCGTCGCGCCCGAGTAAATTCAACTCTGCGCCGCCTGCTTCCCTGTAAGCCAGTGGAGGGGTCCTGGTGTGGGAACATAGGCATTCATAACAAATGCCTGAATGTCTCGGAATCTAGTGTGGCTGAAATTGCCCCAAAACCTGGTAATTAGTTTTTGACCTCATCATCCTTACTATTTGTAAGCTTTTGGTGTGACATTTTTTGAGTTGGCAATCTGTATTAAAAAGACTAAACGGCGAGAAATTAAGGCATATGTACAGGCGCCCCTACTTTGGTGGACAGAAGCCCGCGGCACTGACAGCCCAAGAGGGGAGGGTCACTGGGTCTGGGGCGGAGACCTGAGAATAATCAGGAAATCCGGAACTGGCTTTTCTTAATTCTTTCTCTTTGGTCTCTACTTCCTTCGTTCTCAAGGAACGACTCCTAGGAGATAAGAGGGAAAAGACCGACCCTCAGTGCCCCGACGAACTGCTGGGGTCTGAGGCTGTCCAGTTTTCTCCAGCTACCGGTGAACCCTTCTCCCCAGTCTTCTCGCCTGGTCATGGCGAAATTCTGGGTCTGCGCTGCTGGCGCCAGCTTCTTTCTTGCATTTCTGGTTTTGGATTCGCGTTTTTGCGGCTTTCGGGTGAGTCGGGTGTGAGAAGATTGCCGGGTGTGTAGATGGCACTGCGTGGGTTGGAGGTAATAGGCCGTGGTTCCCTCCCAAGCAAGCTAGTCCCCGAGTCTGCAACCGGAACCGAACCGCTGACATGTGGCCTTATCTCTTAGTGTTCAAAAAGATGTACGTGGCATATTGCCATATTCTTTATTTCCTCGCCTTCTCCAGCTAGTACTGCACTCTCAAATAATTTATCCTAGGAGATAAGAGGGAAAAGACCGACCCTCAGTGCCCCGACGAACTGCTGGGGTCTGAGGCTGTCCAGTTTTCTCCAGCTACCGGTGAACCCTTCTCCCCAGTCTTCTCGCCTGGTCATGGCGAAATTCTGGGTCTGCGCTGCTGGCGCCAGCTTCTTTCTTGCATTTCTGGTTTTGGATTCGCGTTTTTGCGGCTTTCGGGTGAGTCGGGTGTGAGAAGATTGCCGGGTGTGTAGATGGCACTGCGTGGGTTGGAGGTAATAGGCCGTGGTTCCCTCCCAAGCAAGCTAGTCCCCGAGTCTGCAACCGGAACCGAACCGCTGACATGTGGCCTTATCTCTTAGTGTTCAAAAAGATGTACGTGGCATATTGCCATATTCTTTATTTCCTCGCCTTCTCCAGCTAGTACTGCACTCTCAAATAATTTATTGACTTGATGTATTGTGGTGGCCTTGCACTTTAAACATATAAGGCCATATCTTTGAAATTATTCAGTCCAGCAGACTTCTGGTTGTCAAGGCATACTTAAAAATAACCCCTCCTCCCCCCCCTTTTTTTTCTTACCTAGAAGTTGAACTGAGTATTACTCATTTTATTGTATTTAAGGTTGTAAAGAACTTTGTCTTTCAAGTTTCTTGGAGAACTGAGAAAATTCTTTACCGGCTGGATGTGGGTTGGCCTAAGTATCCAGAATATTTTACAGGAGTAACATTTTGTGTTGCAGCTGATTCCCTCAATGGATTGGTTTACGTAGCCCAAGTAAGTAAAATTGGACTTTAAAAAAGTATGAACACAAAACAGCAGCCTTTCAGTACTATTGTAACTAACCATGTGCACTTCTTGATTATAATACAAAATCAGAAATTTACTTTTGAGTTGGTTCCAAGTGTTTTGATTTTAAAAATGATCGATATTATTAGGTTTTGAGGTTGTTTTGTTGTAAGATTTTACTAAATTCTTTAATTAACCTTTAAGTTTTGTTTCTCTTTGCCAAAATAAACATTACCTTTCCTTAAAATTGATTCTATCTAAGCAAGTATTTTTGTATACCTTCAGAGAGGGGATAACATCCCAAAGGTATTAGTGTTCACAGAGGATGGATATTTCCTACGAGCCTGGAATTATACAGTTGACACACCTCATGGTATATTTGCAGCCAGTACACTACATGAACAATCTGTCTGGATCACGGATGTAGGAAGTGGTATGTGTAGTAATATCTATTAAATTATCTTGCTAGAAATCACATCTCTGCATATCCTTGCTTATACAGTTTAAATCAGAGGTGCCAAATCTAATGGTAATTTACTTAATGACTCATGGAATCATTTGTTTCTAAAAATTTTATATTATATTTCTGCAGGATGAGGAAATTTTATAAGGAGGTTATAGTTTTGATCTTTTTCTTGAAATTGTCAAAGAACTTGTTCTGTTTAAAACATCAGTTGCTCTTACCAGGTTAAACAAAACTGTAAGCCAAATATTGGGTGTCAGAAAAGTCATGATGCACCATAAAATAGCAGTCTCTAAAAGCAAATGAATGTAATTCATGACTGATTTTCATTTGCCAGTCCTGTTTCAAAAGAGATTGTGCTAAGAAACTATAACTGCTTTGTTTTCCAAAGATCTGCAGAAACTGATGTTAATACTTTTGAAATTCCACTTACTGAAGCATGTCTGGAATCCTCCCGCCATCAAAAATGTTTAGTAGAAAATGCTGAAAAATGGAGTAAGCACATTTGAACTTAAAGCTGTGGAAAAGTTTTCAGAGAAAGTGGTTCACCTGTCCTGGTGGCTGAAGGCAGAACCAGAAATAGCCTCACATTTCCTTAGGAGCTCAGGAAGGAATAGGACCATAAAGACAATATTTCTGGTATTACCTGGCTCAGTTACGTTCCTGACTTGAAGAAAATCTTTTCTCCAGTTCTAGAAATACCACTTTTTAGAATTAATAAGATCTCAATTTTTTAAGTAGCAACATTACTGCTTCTGTTCTCAGAGCAGGAAAGATTTCTGGGCCTTAGCTGATTTCAAGCTACATTTTGGATGGTAAATTTTGGTTAAACCAAAACAAAATCTGTGTTATCTCTGAGTTCATTGTAATATTGTAATAAGATTCAATTATATTATTTTCCCTTCCTTTTTTTTCCCCCAGGATTCACCATTAAAGGCATTTAGTTATTTAGTTCATTCCATTCATGTGATCCTCCTTTTTTTAAAAAAAAAACAAGACTGTATGATTCCAAGAAGTAAAAGAGCACAGATGACCTGTCCGTTCTTTCTATTAAAATGTGTTTCCCCACCCACAGATCTGAAAGCAGTGTTTATGTTCCTTCCCGTTTTTCAAAGGAACAATATTCCTCTAATGAAATCATGACTACAACTCAGCCGTTTTTGAAAAACCTTGATTTACTAGTATTCTGTCCATTTTCTAGTTCTTTTGAAACTGTAAGGCTTAAACATTGTCATGTTATTGCTATAAGCTTTTGCTCAAGTGTCCAAATCAAGAATAATGATACAGTTTTCAAAATAGAATTGTAATCCAAACCGATTCATTTTATTTCTGGTCAGCTAATGTATCCAGCTTGTATTTCGAACATCTATCATTTTGTTTGGTCTTGTGTGCATTCAAGTTGATTTCTGTTAACTGGTTTATGATTTTTCTCTTACTTACTAATACTCTGTCTTGTACTTTTGCTTATAAGATAATTTTAAGTCAGACAAATTTTAATTTAAGTTTAATTTAAATTAGAACATAAGGAACTAATTATTTACCTTAGGAAAGAAATTAATAGGTTGAATTTTGAATTTGTTTCTACTAAGGGAAAATGTGATTAAAAAAATCAATATTGTAGAGAACTTTTTTGTTAACTTACTGAAATTTAAGATCTGTATAAGAATGATTAATATAACATTTTGGAATGTAAGTTTACAGTTTCTTTCCAATTTCCTTTTACAAGCAGTGCTTACTCAAGATCATAAGATTAAAAGAGAAAATAGCAGGCTGATGATTTTAGTTAACGTCACAAGAGTGTTATATAATGACTCAAGCATTTTTGGTTTTATTTATTGGAATTTAGAATCTTCTTATTTTGGAGTGACAGGTTTTAATTTATGAATGTGAACAAATTTGGCATTAACTTAAGAAGCTCTGTTGCTTTTGAGTTACAACATTTAATTATCTAACCCTGTCAACCTTTTATTACTGTTTAACTCCATCAAACTTTTGCTGTTGGATTATTTGAAAAATGTGAATGTCTGTACAGTGGTTTTATTTGTGAAATGTGCATGTCTCTCTTTCCAGGATCCTATGGTCATACTATTAAAAAATATAATTCCTTTGGTGATCTCGTTCAAGTCTTGGGTACCCCAGGCAAAAAAGGCACTGGTTTGAATCCTTTGCAGTTTGATAACCCTGCAGAACTGTACGTAGAAGACACAGGAGATATTTACATTGTGGATGGAGATGGAGGATTGAATAACAGATTGATCAAACTGTCCCAAGGTATGTGGCTCTACTGTATAGGGTATTAGAAGAATATTATTTTATAAATTTGTCCAAGATTTGGTATAATGTTATAACTATATTGTGTGTGAAATTGTGTGTAAAGCATTCATGTCTATTACTTAGAGAAAACTAGAAAACAGATGGGCAGGATTGCCTTCAGTAAATGATCAATAATAAGCCTGCTTACTTATTACCAAAGATGAGGAGGGAACCAGCAGTTAGCGTAACGGCTATGTCACTGGCCTCCCACGTAGTCGACCACGGTTCACGTCCTGGACCCGGTGGCTTAAAACTCACGCCGGGCACATGTGCGTGCGTGCCCAAGATCCCGAGAGGAGAATGGAGGAGAAGGGATTGCAGCGTGACCATCCCCCCTGGGGGGGTGATTTCTCGCTTTCTGTCTCTCTGTCTCTCTCTGTCTGTCTGGCGAGCGCACACGCCCTATAGAGAAAATCTCTCCCAAAAAAAAAGAAAGATGAAGAGATGCGTCCAAAGAATTGCAGGCAGTATGAAAATTAGCTCAAGAGATAAGTGGGTTTCCTTTTCAATTAAGAATGAAGTTATGGTACCAGCAGGTGGAGATTAAGGCACCGGATTCTACATGGCTGACTTTGTGATTCAAGTCCCAGACTCAGTGTCTTGAAAATCATGCTGGCCTCATGTACATTCATGCCCAAAATCTCGAGTGGAGAGTGGAGGAAAAAGGACTGTTATGGATATCCCCCTGGAGGGGTGATGTCTCACTTTATCCCTCTCTCTCCCTCTCTCTTTGACAAGCTCATGTGTCCTATAGCAAAAACTTAAAAAAGAAAAAAAAGAAAAGAAAAGAGAAGAAATAAAAAGAACGAAGAAGTTAGGAATCTGGAATCCCAGAAGGAGATTTTCTGCAGGCTGATGACTCAGCAAGTATCTCACTGAGTGCCCTACTCTGGGATCTCAATTGACACCAGTAGGTGCAGGTTTATTAACAGAGGAAATGATGAAATGTAATTGATTGAACTAATTCTTTTTTTCATTATTATTATTTTACTTAACTAATTTTATTTACTTTTTTGGGGAGAGGTTTTAGCTATAGGGCATGTGTGCTCGCCAGAAAGACAGAGAGAGACAGAAAGTGAGAAATCACCTTCCAGGGTAGATGGCCATGCCACAATCCCTTCTCCTCCATTCTCCTCTCGGGGTCTTGGGCGCACACATACACGGACCTGGTGTGAGTTTAAGCCACCAGGTCCAGGACTCTAACCACAGATGACTACCTGGGAGTCCAGTGACATAGCCATTACACCAACTGCTGGTCCCAGTTTTATTTACTGTTATTATTATTATTATTATTTTATTTACCAAAGAGAGTGAAAGTGAAAGTCAGAAAGCCAGCCACCAAGTCTGGGACTTGAACCATGGTCAGCCATGTGGGAGTTTAGCACTTTAATCACCACTCCACCTGCTGGTCCTGGAACTGATTCTTAAAGAAGGAATTAGGAGGAGAAACTGAGTTGACTAGAGAAACAGGATAGGATATCATGAAGAAAGCAGTTCTTGAACTAAAATGCTTTTCATGCAAAGAGAGAGGAAACATGGAGAATTTTGGGGGGAGTTTTATGAAAGGTAGTTGTGAACAGAAAAGGAGCTGAAAATGCACTTTGAACAATGGAAAATAAGATTTTGTTTTTTGCTATAGGGTAACCTGTGCTAACTGGAGAGACAGAAAGAGAGGGAAAGTGAGAAAGCCTTCCCCATGGCATTTGGCCACACTGAAATCCCTTCTCCATTTTCCTCTGATGAGCTCTGTCATTTGGAGGCTATGTAATTATTAGTAACTGAATTTGCTTGGTAACAGTTAAAGGGTTGGGTGTAAAACAAGAATCTAAAAAGTTCTATGAAAGAAAAAACAACTAAATTTAGCAAACAGATTGGTTGTGGATACATAAATTTCTTGTGGCTGCTGTAACAAATTGCCATAAACTGAGTGCTTTAAACAAGAGAAATTTATTCTCACAGTTTTGGAATCTAGAAGTCTAAAGTCTGTAGGATAGACCCTGCTCTCTCTCTCTTTTTTCTTTTTTTTTTTGGAGAGGTTTTTACTATAGGGTGCGTGCGCTCGCCAGAGAGACAGAAAGCGAGAAATCATCCCCCAGGGGTGATGGCCATGCCATAATCCCTTCTCCTCCATTTTCCTCTCGGGATCTTGGGCACGCACGCACACGTGCCTGGCATGAGTTTAAGTCACCGGGTCCGGGATTCGAACCACAGTCGACTACGTGGGAGTCCAGCGACATAGCCATTACGCTAACTGCTGGTCCTAACCCTGCTCTCTCTAAGGGCTCTAAGGGGTCTGGCTTGGCTTCGTGATGCAGTGATAATGCACTGCTCAAGAGAAACGGATCTCATGTGGCCACCATGTTTCCAGTCCTGCGTCCAGTGAGTCAGATACACACGAGTGCCCAGGATGGGCTGGAGGACTGGAGGAAGGTGATCTGGTGTAATCAGAACCTGTGGAGCGTGTTCTCCCACCTTCTCTCTCTCTTTCTCTTTCAATCTCTCTTTTGTACACATTCTAATGTGAATAAAGGAAAAGTTTAAGAATTAAAATGGACTCAAATAGACAGTTTTTTCTTGCCTCCTAGATGATTCAAACATTTCTTTGCTTGTAGCAGGGCAGTATAACTCCAATTTCTGCCTCTCTCATCACATGGCTCTTTCTCTGTGTTTCTTTTTGCCTCAAATTTCCCCGTCCTTTCCCTTATAAGTATTTAGAGTCCACTCATAATCCAGGATGATCTGTCTAGACCCCTAATGCAAGCACATCTGCAAAGACCCTATTTCCAAATAAGGCCACATTCACAGATACTGGGGTTTAGGACTTTGCCATACCTTTTGAAAGACTGACGTTCAATCCACTGCAATGGGTAATAAAGAAGAGAGACCATAAGAATGTTCAAGCTCAGTGAGATGCCATTATCAAATAACTGATAATCTAGGAAGGAGAACCAGTTTGGGGGTAAAGATGACAATGAAGCCTAAGCAATAATTTTGAAGCAGTCATGAAAAATTCAAGTTGAGACAGTAAAGAAGTAGATTAATTGAAGCAGAGAGGGCTTTTTTGTTTTTGGTTTGGGTTTAAGAATTAGGCAAATTGGGGGCCTGCAGGTGGTGTGTGGTGGTTAAGGAGCTAGACTCCCACATGACCAACCATGGTTCGAGTCCTGGATCTAGAGGCTTTCTTTCCCACTTTACCTCTTTCTCTCTCTCTTTCTGTCCCTCTCTTATAAGTACTCTGTCCTGTGGCAAATAAAAAAAAAGAATGATAATAAAACAAGATTAAATAAATAATTCTTTAAAAATAATAGGCAGGTGGTATATAGACATGAAACCAGAAAGCATAGTCAACCAGCGGTATAATTAGTTTTGTGTAATTTGGATCACAAAATATATTATCAGAAGGCATACGGCATTCTATATGTTGCTCTGACCATATGTATTTACTATTTATAGATTTCATGATCCTTTGGCTACATGGAGAAAATGGGACAGGACCTGGAAAGTTCAACATACCTCATAGTGTCACAGTTGATTCTTCTGGTCGGGTAAAAATCTAGTATTATTGTGTCTGGGGAGTGTGTCTGTGTGTTGCATGTCTAGGCATGTGTATATATATAGATTATGGTGTACATGTGTATGTTTGGACTTGTGGATATGTGCGTGTTCGTGAGTATGTCTATGCAAATCCTCTGGGACTGAAAATGCATGAATACCCCGAGAAATATTTGGCCCCTATAGTGAGGAGGTTCCTCAAATATTTAGAAATGAGCATAATAGATTTTCTCTATCATTTAAAGTATAGAAAGAATAAATAGTGGGTCCAAACATAAAGTTACCTGGAAAAAAACATTGCCTTTGCATAGGAAAACACTATTATACATGTTTGAATTTATTTCCCTTTTAAAATGTATTGATCAAAGAGGGCATGGGGGAGTGGCCAGCAGGTGGCATGGTGTTTAGGACACTGGATTCTTACATGGTTGACAGTGGTTTGAGTCCCAGACCTAAAAGCATGAAAATCATACCAGGCACATGTGCATGCATGCCCGAAGTCCCAAAAGGAGAATGGAGGAGAAGGGATTGCAGCATGGCCATCCCCCTTGGGTAGTGAGTTCTCACTTTTCCTTTTTCTGTCTCTCTGGCAAGTGCGCACACCCTTTGTCAAAAATTAAAAAAAAAAAAAAAAAGAGGAATTGGGGAGGTTAATCTTGGAAGCTTGAAGAGAGCCACCTGGGCAAACTCTTGGTCTCACTATTTCCACTCTGTTTGGGAAACAGAAAGCTTTTACCAACAAATTGAATCCATTTCTTTTTTTTTTTAGTACCTCTGGCTATTACCTCTTTTTGCTTTTATTCACCTTCTAACCATAAATATCACTTCTTTGGGGTCACCCCCCCTTGCTATAACCAAGCCCCAAACCCCCACCAAAACATGTTAATGTTAGTTGTTCCTCCCATTTTCCTATAGCAGCCTGCACTTTCCCCTTATATTAACATTCATGCTTCCTGTAATTACTTATTATCTGAATCCCTTAATAAATTGTAGGCAATATAAGGGTCCATACTAAATCCGTTTTGTTTCCTGTCTCAGTGCCTAGAAATAATCAGCTTATATGTATTTGATAAATGACTAAGAATCTTAACACACAATGAATTCATCTTCTGCTTGAGTTCATACCATTAGACATTTAATCCATTTCCACTTGTGATTCAGTGCTCAGCAGGCAACTTTCTAATTATGATTTGGTTTCCAATGTTGACAAAATGAGAATGTTTTGATCATTAAACCTTCTGTCTACTGTAAGAAGTTAACTCTGTGAACTTTGCATATAAATTTGAAACTACAAAGTTGAAATTCTGGTTTTACACATAATTCTCTCTGTGCTTGGTTAATTACTTCCCTTGTGGTCTAATGAAACAATCAATTTTCAGAGCATATGAGACCTAGACCCTTGTAAATTCACCATGGTAAAACATTTTCTTTGAGGAGACCTTGAAGATCATTCAGTGTGAGTAGTCTGACATTACCGAGTATTGAAGAATGAAGAATATTAATGTTTACACGTTTGTGTTTTTAGAACAATAGCATTTTACATGGTTAACTCATTTAATCATTACTACAGCTCTACATGAAAAGTTAAATTAGTTCCAGAGTTACTTATTGTTGTTGTATCTTAAATAGAATTTTGCATAATCAAATTCATCAAATATTGAGTTAGAAAGATAATGTTGACAATCTGAAGTATCATTCTATCTACGCTGATAATCAGAAGTATTATTCAATCCAAGGTATAACCTCTATTTCCTCCTTGGTCATTTGTCTGAAACACTGAACTGAAAATCTTTAAGGAAACCCAACTTCAATAAAAATGTATAGATTAGGAAAAAGACTGAGGCCCTTGTTAGATGTCAGCAATCTTTCTAAAATAGTATAACGAACGAGTCTGTATTTGTTTCTGATGGGAGATGAATTCGGTGGCTACCAAAATTTGCACAAATTGACAAAGATACAGTCATTACTACCCTGAAGAAATAGTTCCTGAATTCACAAACAAATCCAAAGGGCCCAAAGAGGTTAGGTAGAGGCCAGCAGTGTGGACTTGCCCTCCAGTCCATCCTATTGTACCGCTCT